CCCCCCCCCCCCCCCCCCGCGCCACCGACGAGCGGGAGCGGCGGAACTTCCCGGGGGGAAGCGCTCCGAGGCGCAGGACGGCGCGAGCCCCCCTCGGAATCTGGGAAGGGCTGGAGAAAGGGGATTGCCGCGGACTTACGGGGAGGCACGCGGGGGAGGATTCCTTTTTTCTTCACACACACACACACACACACACACCCCGTAAAATGCGCTGCCCACGTCCTTCCCTACTGGCCTAGGGAAACTCCTCGCTTCCCTGACAGTAGCGGGGGTGGGGGGGGGATGAACTTCGGGGACTGCGTCCTCCCCGCCCCTTGAGCTTCTGGAGACCCGCTGGGTGCCCTTGCCTGTCGCCTTCAGCCTTACCTATCCCCGGGCAAAGGGCCCCGACTCTCTCCCATCTCTAACCTCCGGGGCAGAAAGCTTCTACCAGAATCAACGCGCCACAAAACCCTGGGGGGCTCTTGCTGAGATAGAGGGCGATTTTCGAGGGGCTGCAATGTTTTGTCCTTCCTTCCTTGTCTTGCCTGACGCTCCTTTTTAACCTCCCCACCATGGTCGGAAGAGCTGGGGCAGCAACAGACACCCAGCATCGGTCCCAGCCCAGCCCGCAAACGGGAGCCAGCTCGCAAAGCCCTCCAGCCAGAGGAGGAAAAACAAACCCCGAAAGGAACAGTCAAGTGGAACCGAAAGGAAATCCAGAGCGAGCAAGCAGGGCCCGCCACGGCCAGAGAGCCTTGGCACGGGCGCCCCTCTTCTCTCCACCGGCCAGCGGGTTGGGCAGTGCTTGGGAAGAGCCTCCCGCCTGCCCGCCCACGCCTCTGTGGAGGTCAAAAGAGCCAGAACCAGGAGAGCAGCGGCACACTTCGCCCGGCCTTTCCCCCCCACCCACAAGGCAGCCAGCCTGAAGTCTGAGCACCTGGAAATCTAGCCTCTCAAGGAGTAGGCTGGGCCTATGGAGATCTCCCTGCAAGGAGCTGGATTGTACTGCAGGGACGAAGGACCTCTTCCCCCACCCCGTGCAGCAGGAGCACGGCCCCCCCACATTGACACACACACGTCCACACACTTGCACAAATCCATTTTCCTCATTCCACCCCCAATCCAGGCGAAGCTGCCTTTGCCGGTACCTTCCCGTGGGGAGGGGTGGGGGGGCCCTGCCTCATCTCGCTGGGTCTCCCCTCCAGCAGCGTTCCTGGAAGGAAGCATTTCCTGAGTGTAGAGTCAGCCTCGGCTGGATGGGAAATGGCGGCCCAGAGTTGCCTGCGGTAGAGAGTCGGAGGCCTGAAGCTGGCATTCTCTTGCAGAGGAATGCCTGCTAATCAAGGGAACAATATTATCCCAAGAGCCAGAGTGCCCCTAAGATTAGGCAGAGTGTCCCTTCCCTCCAGGCCAGGGCTGAACTGGAAGAGGCAGACATCTTTGGGCTGTTGAGGTTTCAATCTGGGAAAGGCGAGCTTGTCTGTCCAGATGTGCAACTGGTGGGAAGGACGCTAGGGTGGCAACCCAACATCTTGAAGGTCACATGCAGCCACCACCACCACCCAACTTAGTCAAAAGGATGGAGTGGCCATCAACCCAACTTTGCAGCTAACACAGATGCTAATCCCTTTTAAGAGGGGAATAAATTTCAACAGGGCATTAGAAGAATGGGACAAGAAGGTCCAACCTAACCAACGTTGTCCTCTTTATTCCATTTATATCCCTTGTGGCACGGGATTCAATAGAGACACAGGCAAAGTCCCCCATCTTCCTTTTGACAATCCCAAATCAAATGCAAAGACATAGGAAGAGGATGCCAAGCCCTACTGAAACTGACTGGCTGTGTTTAGCTGAAGACAGACACGATTGAGCAGGAGCAGAAGCAGAGAAGGGCCATCTCACAGAAGACTTGTTCTCTGATGCCCACAGGAATATGATTAAACATAATGGGCCTCCTTTGAAGGAGCCTGGATTTCATGGGAACATTTGGAGAACCTGGACAAGTAAACAATAGACCCAGTTTCTGGAAGGTTGGTTGGATTCTCTCTTTCCATGTCTCCAAACATAGTTCACTAAGCATTGGTTGGGAATCCTCTTATGCTGGGGATCCTGGACCAAAGAGCAGGCTAGATGACCTCAAAGCCTCTTCCAGTTCTTCTGTCCCAGAAGACTAAAAGAGCTTCTTCCTTCTTACAAGACCCTTCCTCTGTTTTGGACTCTGGAATGTGTGATGGAATGAAGGAAGCATAACAAAACAACTTTCCCAGCCTCATCCATTTCTAGCAGGCCATCTTGTCCACCCCCCCCACCCGGACCGTTTCTGTTTGCAATCCCTCATGCGCACATTAGGAAGTAGGTAGCACTGATTTGTAAAGGGCATTTACAAATCAAGCCGGATCCCCCTTCCCACCCACTGAGCCCAAAGTCCTGCTTTCTAACTCCAAACCCGAGAGAAGACTTTTTTGCGGACCGAGAATCCGCCATTCAAGTGCGGCATCACGTTTTTTCTTTAGGAGGAAGAGAAGGAAAGGAGGCGCAAACGTCTGAGAAAGGTTCCCGTGCAACCAGCATCATCCCCCAGTTTTACTGGGTGAACTTTTCAGGAACCTTTTCTCCACCCAAAATGGAGGTTTTAAACCATTATTCACTTTCCGTGCTAAGATGTGGCTTGGCTCAGTTTCTATATTTTTGGGGAAAGCGGGTTGGTGTTATCGACTAATGGAGGAAAGGCACCGTGGCCTGCTCATGTGCAAGTTCTCAATCTGGGCCTAGCGTCCTCTCTTCCAAAACAAAACCATCCCCCCCCCCCACCGCCCGTATCAAAGCAGCCTGATTGGTCCCACCATGAAAACTGCCTCAAGTTGTGACCTCCTGGAAGTTCTTCCTGATTTTTTGGGGAAGCAAAGTAGCGCAGCTGGCACAGTGGGGAAGGATAGCCCTATGAGCAACTGGCACATTCACCAGCAGGTCTGGGCAAACAACAAAGGTAAGAAAGGTGCCATCAAAGATTCTACTTCCAGTTCAACATATTCCGGAGCTGAGATCTTGCAGGCCACGCCGGCATAAATGGAGAGATTGGCAGACAATCTCATCCCACCTCATCCCTAGCCAGAGACAAGGAATTATTGCAGAAGTAGATAAAAGTACAATTGTTTAAATGACCTTGGCAGTGGCTGTTAACAGTCACTTACTTGGAAAGTAGCCCTCTGCCTCCTTCTCTGCCCGCGCGACTCCAGAAGTGAAGATGGCAAAGGCCAAACCCTTGGACTCTGGTCTTAATCCGGATGGAACCACATGGAGCCCACTTTGCGACCGTGGGTCCCGCTCCCAGGTGGAACTGTGGGCGCGCTTGTCCTGGGAAGTGCAGCCTTTGCCGGACACTCAGCCAGTCCCCGCCTCCAAATGGTGGCCACGATGGGCTCGAAATGCTTGCCTCATTGGCTTTCTCCACGGCACGTGACAGCGTTAGCGAAAAAAAAAGAAGAAGAAGAAGAAGAAACGAAATTAAGATACAAAACACTGTTCCTAAACCAGCATCAGAATGTGGCAGCTGAGAAGATAAAGGAGGACCTTTGCCATAGATAAAGCAACAGGAGAAGGAAACTTGTTAAAGATGGTTTAGGGAGGGGCCCTGTGTGGACAGAGAACAGGCTCATTAAAAAATATGAGGGAAGGAGGGAGGGGAGCTCCGATGGATTTATTGCTCTGGTCCTGCTGGCCTGAACAATTTTATTTTTCTGTGCTCACCAGTCCACGGTTGGAAGATGAAGGCTGGTGCCGTCCTGGTTCAACCTCAACCGCAGGCCACGGAAAAGCCAGACTTCCATTTGGGCTAGTGTGAGCCGCTTCGGGGGTTGCTTTGTTTTGCTTCAGACCTGCCTCATTTTTAAATTGCGT